ACTTTTTCAGGCTTCTGATTGGCCAACATGGCTTTACGGTTGAGATTATATCGCCCACCTGTTGGTTTGGCATGCTCTTGACAGTGCTTCATAGCATGCGTTTGCGTTTTCATGTGAACGGAGATTTTTTTTTAAACGGAAGAAGGAAAAAAACTGTTTATAAAAATACCCGTGTACGTGTGGACATGGCCTAAGACTTTTTTATTTTATTTTATTTTTTACATATTTTAGCACTAAATGTATTTGTTTCTTAGATTATTTGGACGGCAGAATGTGCTGAAAGTGCAGTCTTGTGATAAAATTGTAACACATCATTTTCTTTTTATTACTATTTAGTTTTGTTTGTATTACATTCAATATTGCACGAAAAGTATTGCTAAAAGTAGTCAAATCACTTATAACCATTCTATACAATATTTAATATTTGTTTTTTATGCTTCAATTAGTTGATAAATGCCATAATCAAACTATTGGAATCAATTGTGAATCTCTTGAGCTCTTCACTCGAGTATTGCTAATTTGAGTGGCAAACTCCTGGAAATTCAACAAATAATAATAAGGTCTGGGGTGAAAGCCATTGTCATTTATTACATTTTATTTTAATTTTTAAATAAAAAAATATTTATTTACAAATATTAAAAGACGCTTTATTTAAAAAATATTTTCCAAAGAAAATTTCTGTAATGCGTTTCATTGTTTCTGTAGTTATGCTTAGTTGTAAATTTAAGAAAATACAGTTATTGTATTTTTAGTATTTATCTATATGCTAATCTAGTTTTTATTAAAGATTTGAATTGGCTTTTATATTTAGATTTTTTTTATTTTGTTTATTCAAGTTTATTTCAACATTTTTAATTTTTATTTACTTATTTTTAAAGCATTTCTTCTATGTGTTTTAATTTATTATTTCAGTTTTAGTTTTAGTACTTCAGCTTTTTTTATTTGATTAAAAATGTTTCCACAAAATGTTGTGTCTTATGACCAGATATCTATTACGACTGCATATTGTTTCAGTTCCTCGGGTTGTGGTCTGGCAGAGGTAAATCTCATTAGTGTTGTTTGTTTCAGACGGCAGCAGTCTGTTTGACTCGATGGCGAGCGGCATGAGGCTCATCGTGAGCTGCATCTCGTCCTTCCTTATCCTCTCGCTGCTGCTCTTCATGGTGCACAGACTGAGGCAGCGCCGGCGGGAACGCATCGAAACCCTCATTGGAGGAAACCGTAAGGCCCCGTGTGATCATCTGATTATATCTGCACATGTTAAAGTGCTGTTTTTCTGAATCATCTCTGTCTTTCACAGTGCATCATTTTAATCTGGGTCGGAGGGTCCCTGGCTTTGACTACGGGCCGGATGCGTTCGGGACGGGCCTGACGCCTCTGCACCTCTCTGATGATGGTGAAGGTGGAGCGTTCCACTTCCAGGAGCCTCCGCCCCCTTATGCTGCTTACAAATACCCAGATATCCACCACCCCGACGACCCTCCTCCTTCATATGAGGCCTCCATCAACCCAGACAGCATCCTCTACATGGACCTCAGTATGTCTTTACAAAGATTAACAACAGACGCTGTATTTTTAGGTCTTTTCTATACATATGCAAGTAACTAATGATTTATCATCTTCAAATGAATGATATTTAAAGTCTTTATGGATCTCACACTGGAGCTCTGATCCAAAACCTAGTGAGCTGCTTACCTAGACAACTTTATTATTATTATTATTCTGTATTCTCAGATACCTAATAATGGCCAAATTGTAAGGAATCATCATATGTATCTTCTGCAAATAAAGCAAAACCAGAATGCATTTTGCAGTGTATGTATCCCCGAAAAATACTATGTTGAGAGGAATATCAATTGAAAATATTACATTGCATTTAACACGGATTAAAAAGTCAAATCGATTATAACCATTTTACACAATATTTGTGTATATGTGAATGTTTTGCATGTATTAGAGACATGAAACCACATTAGCTTATAGCAATGCTATAATCAAACTATTGGAATTAATTGTAAATCTCTTTAGCACTTGAATATTGCTAATTTGTGTGGTGAATTCCTGGAAACTGAAAACAAAAAAGTCATGGTCATTTATGAGATATTTATTTGAAATTTGAAATAAAGTGTTTTAATATTTATAAACAAACAAATTAATTATATAATTTTTTAATTTAAAGAACACTTTGAAGCCATAATTTCTGTCATGCATTTAATTTTTAATTGTTTTTGCAGTTATGCTATACAATTTCAGTATTATTAGTATTATTTATATGCTATTATAGTATTTATTAATATTTTGAATTAGCTTATAATTTTTGCATTTTTATATTAGTTGAAGTGTTATTCCTTTTGATAAGTGCTTTCTATTTTTAAAATGTCTCTATTTTTATTTTATGTTTAGTAATTACATTTATTCATTTGGAATTTTCAGTTGTTTTTTTATGTAATTTATGTAACCTTATTTTAATGATCAAAAACAATTTAACAAATTCTCTATTAAATGCAAAACTTTCTTTTTCTTCAGTTTTAGTTTTGGTAATTTTGGTACGTCAAATAAAAATTATTTTATCATTTTACATTTACTTGCATGCTTACATATTTTTAATCTAATAATTGTAGTTCATTTTATTACAGCTTTATTTCAATCAATGAAAATGATTTCGAAATAGTTTTAGTTTTGGTTGACCCTTCGTTCACTTCCTGTTCTCTGCTCAGGACGGACCGGGGTTCCGCTCGCGACTGGTCACATGAGCGGCGCCGCCGCCGCCGACTCTCTCCAGAGGGATTTCCCCGGGCCTGCGCTCCCCGCCTTGCTGCCGCCCCTGGAGGAGCGCGAGGACTCCATCGACAGCAGCACCCTGCTGGTGTCTCCGGACACCCCCAACGAATCAGAGAGCAGCATCACGCAGAGCTCCACGGCAGACTGCAGCGGCCCCTCGCTCAGCACCGTGGTGTAGGGTACGTGTCCAGACTGCGCTCTACTACATGTTGGAGGATGTAGGACTCGAGGAAGATTTCCTGTTCAGAGCAAAGACTTCAGACACGAACCAAAAGACGATTGTTTGGGGGGTTTTATTCAGCGTTTTTTCAGCTTGAGCGTCACATGTAAATACTTCCGTCGGCCATCGGTTGATGTCGTGGAGGGCCGACAGAGCACCTCTCTCTGAGGTTTACACTGGCATGTGTCGATCACCACACTTTGAACGAATGAACCGGTCGACGAACAGACTTTTTAGGCCTTAGTGGTGTAATCAAGACGACCTGACGTTCTCACTGGAATCGTGTCCCACACACTGACTCTTTCCTGGCACAAAGAAGCTATTTTTCCTTGACTCATTACTGCTCTGTCTAAACCGACCCTTGGGTGGTCGTCTCTACGGGAAGGATCCGTTTAGACGTGAGCGGTACCATGTTACCAGGAGTTCTGTGACATCTGGTTTTTACATTTTCTGTCTGTCAGATCAGTAGCACAAACTCAAAAAACGAAGAAAAAAAACCCATTTGATTCGAGGTACGAGTTTCAGCCTTTTTTAAGTGTCCTGCTGTGGCATGGTGATGCAAATCCATCGCCTCGTTTTTGGAAAAGAATGTCAGAAGCGTTTGAGAGTCCTTTGGGAGGTGAACTTTGTCGAAAAACGGATTTAGGTGTGATCAACGTCACATTTGCTCAAGTCTAAAAGGGTGAATCTCATGACAGCTGTGAAGAAATTACCAGTTTTTACCGAAAGAAAAAAATAAGAGATTATATTTTGCATAGAAGCTGATTCAACCATGCATCATTACTTAAAATATTCAGTGGTCCACAGTATTTCAAACACATCTCGTTTATTTCATGACTGTAATGCTGAAATTTTTTTTTTAATTAAATTTAAAAATAACGTACTTGTGCATATAT